GTTGCTGCCCAAACCGGAGATCCATGGATTTTATTTTAAAAATAACTTCACTTAAAATATAGAGGTCTATTTTTTATTTTTCTAAATATGTGGATTCTTGGTTAGAAACTTTATGGAGAATGGAATGGAATGAGTGTCTACACAGAAGGAGATTCTAAAATGCTTGTTCAGTAAGCCCAGAGATTTGAAAATAACCTCAAAACCAATTAAAATGTGAAGGGTTGGGGAGCGGGGAGCCCTGGCTGTGAAATGCTTCTAAAAGACCACGTAACAGGGTAAAGAGGTATTCCTTAAGCAACAACAATGGAAATTGTTCTGGAAGTGTATGCAGAGGGAGATGGTGAGGGGTGCGAAGCTCATGCTTTCCAATTTTCTCTGGGTTTTAAAAAGCCTCAAATAGACCTCTTTTCCCCAAAAGTGAATTTGCAAATTAGCCCTAAATGGAATAATTTGTGCCCTCTCCCTTCAGATTCTTACCATGTCTTTCGATATCTAAGGTACCCCAGGGCTCAACAGGCATGTCAGGCTTGAATTTCTAGACGAAACACAGAAGAATGAAATACACTGGCAAAATGCATATTCCTATAGATTTTTGACAGCCACTGGCAACAATGAGGAAGTCCTTGGCTGAAGCTTGAAAACAGGTACCAGAGGACACCAGAGGATCAGAAAGATGGTTTTTGCCAAGTCTTTGCGTCCCTTTATCCTCCTGTTCACCAGACCGCCAGCCTGCACAATTTAGAGCATCTTCTCCCAGGAACCCAGTGTAAACACACAGGCATCCTTGACATGAATGCTTTTCCAAAGGGGAGAAAGTTCCTTAAAAAAAGAAAAAAAAATCAAATGGCTTCCTCTTGCCCCAACCCTGCTGTCCCCTACCCCTATGTTCTGTCCAGAAGAAAAATCCCTCAGCCGCAATGGTTGTTTTTATTAAATTCTCCTCAATAAAAAGCTCAGGCAGGATTTATTAGGTACTCAGGGTGGACGTTTAGTATTTCGCCAGTTATTAAGTGAAAATCAATAGAAAGCAAAGAAAATGGAAGTCACTGCACTGTTAGCACACCGTTGTCGTCCAGATATTATGTCGGCTGTCCCGTAGATTCATGACAGACGAAAGAGGCCGGGAGAGAACTTTCTGCTTACATTGCACGCGCCAAAGTGGGGTTATTCATTAGAACAGGCAGCCGGCCAGATGGATTTCCAGTTCAGTTTTACCATTTATCTTTAAAACGCCTGTATCGAGTGAGAAAGAACACTGATATTATGTGATATCAATGGCAGGTTTATGTATCTAAATCAGGATTTATTGTTATTTTGTTCCAAAGACCTTTTTTTCTCAAGAAATACCATTTCACTGGAAGAAAATAATAGCTAAAACCTTGTCAAAGATAACCTTTCATGCTGTCCGGACGCCACTAGCTGTAAAACAAATAGAACCCCGTATATAAATAGTTTTAACCACATCCTTACAAATCACTTCTTCTGAGTCCGTTTTCCCCATTTCAATATGTGTGTGTTTGTTGTTGTTGTTTTAAAAAGGCAGCAAACACGATTTTTGATCATTTGATGTTTCCTTTGCCGGGAGTTTAAGTTTAAACCATGTTAGCAATTGTTTGAATTGTGTTTAAAAGCTTCCGCTGTTTTATGTTTTTCTGCGGAATGCTACTTTTTCAAAAAGCATTCTTTTTTGAAAAGCAAAGTGGTCTGCTGTTTTTTTTTTCTTTTCTTCTCCTGCCTTAGAATAAGCTTTCGAGTCAAAAACACTGATTGCTTTTTTTTTTCCTAGCTATTTCAGAGTCTTCAGACGTAGAGATGTGTTTTCCTTTCACTTCAATGGACTTTTTCCATAGCTTCTCCCGTTTTCGATTCCTTCCCATCTTAAGGCCAGATTCCAGCCGACCCGATCAAGTCAGATCTTCTGTTTGTCCTGCAAAGTAACTAACATGGTCAAATGCCGGGGTGAACCACTGCACCCTCTTTATAAGTTGCTCTGAAGAAAGTGTACAATCTATGCATTTGTAAAATGTCATTAGTGATAACATTATGATGGGGAGGAAAATCTTACACCTGGGTTTTGGTTGAAGCTGCTGTTAATAGGAACCTGGGAATATGTTTTTCAGCTCCCTTATTTTCACTCATTTTTTTCCTTTATGTTTGGGAAAAGAGACTGTAAATTTAGCTTTATGTGGACCAATATTACATAATAGCCAAATACAGATGCTTATTTACAGATCAAAATTCACTTAAGTGACACCAACTTAGAACAATTCTCTAAACATCAACTGAAATTTTTGCTCCTGCTGAACAAAAGTGATGTTACATTGCACAATAAAAAAGTATAAAATGGATTTTGAAAATTTTCTCACTAATATCCTTCTTTATCGAACCAGGTAAATTCGCCAAATTTTACCAGAAATCCCTTCTCGTGTTTCCTATTTAGACGTGGGCACCCGTTTTTCTTTTTTTAAATGTGTTGGCACATAGATGGGATCTTCAAATAAAGACATGGGAGGACCTTTCTACCCTTCCTGCTTCTTGAGAAAGGTCATTCTTAACTTTTCCTATATGTATACACTTCTGTATCTACTTACATGTCTGTGCCTGGACCTGCCGGTGGGGAGGGGATACAGGGCAGTGCGGTTAAGAAGTGCACTTTGGAAGTACATTGCATCAGTTCAAATCCCAGCTCTGTCATTCACTGGCTCTGTGATTTGGCCAAGTTGTTATAGTCCTGTATCTCAATTTTCTCGTCTGTATAATGGGGATAATAATCATAGTGATTTTTTTTTTCACAGCGATTTCTTACCAGGAATAAATGGATCAATATACGTAAAGTTCAGAGAGCATTGCAGGCTCATATTAAATCCTCTGACTATACAAAATCCAGAACATAAAGTTTCCCATTTTAACACTTAAGTTTTTAACAAAATAGAATGTAGTCTCACTGGGGACCCAATGAATCCTTCATTTTCCTATTTATTCATGTATTTGGACACTGCAAATAAGACCTAAAATCTTAAGTTTCAGTCGTAATGAGAATCCCACTTAACGAAAAGTTTGTATTAAATAAATTTGCTTTAAAAGAAGCTTTTTTTGTGGTATCAAAAACAACAGCCATAATAATAATAGTCTATGAGGATAACTAAAATATTGATGTATTAATAGCTGTCGTGATACAGTAGTCATGAAGCTTAAGGTCTGAGTGGGGACCTAATTATAGACAGCATCTTAATTCGTTGAAAACAATGTCTGGTTATTTCATTATCTAACAATTAACATCAGTAACACAGGCAGCTGAGAAAGCAATGATACTGCTAATGAACATGACTTGGGCAGTCAGAAAACGAAACATTAGAGCCAAGAAAAATCAAAGTCGATGACTCGGATGCCTTGCCTGCGTGCATCATATCAGTTGAAGACTTGCCAAGGCTGCCTGAATTCGAATTTGACTTTGCAGAGTTAGCCCCCCGCCTTTCATCATGCCTCTCCTCTCTGAACCTTAGGTTTCTTAACTGTAGAGAGGGTGTTCTACGCCCTCTTTATCCCCACTCCGGTTGAGAGCTGAAGAAAGAGAGCTGAAAGCACTTATTAAAAGAAAACAACCCTTTAGATAGTCAGGCTGGGGGGGGAAATTGGTACAATTTGAAAACACAGTGATGTTATGAGAGGGTAACTCTTGTCTGCTTTCATGCCCGTCCCTGGGTGCTCCACATTCTTTGGACAAAATTGCGTGGGTGTGACCCACAGGGAGTTCTGCAGGGTGAGAGCTGCGATCAGGCTGCCTGAACTCGCAAGCACGCTTCCTCTTAATATCTACAAGACCCGAGCTAGTGAGTAACCTCTCTCTGACTCGGGCTCTTCATTTGCCCTGGTGAGACAACCGGTAGTCCCCTCTTATGGACTCAGTGAGATGAACAGTACTTACTCATGTAGCAAGTGAGATTATACATATAAAGTACGTAGAGTGGCACCTGGTAAATACTCAATGGATCCTTTTGTCATGATTTGCTCTCTAAAGGAGCAATATGATACTGTTCAATATTCTGATAAGCCCCTGACATCACTGAGCCCATGGATGATCAGGGAACTCAGATGAGCACCCAGGCAACTTCCCTATGGTGGGATATTGGAAAGCACAGTCTGACTGTTCTTTAAGGCATGGGGTGGAGATAGGAAAGACTTCCCTATGGAAGTGATAGCTAAGCTGAAAAATCTAATCAAGTTGTAAGATAGTGATCTCCTAACCAGTGTAGACCTGTGATCTCCAAAGGGATTCTCTGCTCAGCTGGGATGGTCCAGAGCTGCACTGTCTGATATGGTGACTGCTAGTCACACACCATGATGACTGAGTGATGAAACGTTCTTAGTGCACACAAAAAAGTAAGTTTTTAGTGTTACTTAATTTTATTTTTTTTAGTTACAATGTTTTTTAAAAATCTTAGTGCAATGTAGTTGACTTACAATGTTAGTTTCAGGTGTACATCAAAGTGATTCAGTTATACATGTACATACATACACATATTTTCTTTTCAGAGTCTTTTCCATTATAGACTATTACAAGAAGTTGGATATAGTTCCCTGTACTATACAGTAGGTCCTTACTGTAAATCTATTTTATATATAGTAATGTGTGTCGTTAATCCCCAACTCCTAATGTGTCTCTTTCCTCGTTACAATTTAAACTGCCTAGTGGCTAATGTACTGGGCTGCACAGCTCCAGAGGAGAAACATCCGTGAAGATCCAGACGCGAGGGAGTTCTTGTACATTGAAGACCTGATATTTTGAAGAGCCGATTCATGAACAATGCCTTTTGGAAATTAGCAGAGACAATGCATGGCTTACTGAAAAGTTCAGGCTTTTACCGAGGGCCATGGAAAGCCATTGGATGACAATAAAAAAGAGACAGACAGGATCAGACTTGCATTTTAGTAAAACCACTTTGATTGTAGTTATAATAATAGCTAGGACTATGAGCATTTTAGCATTTACAGGCTTTTCTGATAACCCGACCTCCTTTCATCTTCCACTCAACTCCATGAGCTGTATCTGTAACATCTCCTTTTATAGATCTTTACTTGTCTTCAACTCGGCAACTTATGCTCATATTACTACACCCTCATGGAAGATGGACTTGATCAAAGTAAAACATTCACACGATGTTTGTGCACAGCTTCACGTGTGAGAATGTTTCACGAATCAGTTTGGACATGCCACCAGGTTACTTCCAAAGAAATGTTGAAGAACTTTTTTTCTACATGTGACCTACTGCGGAGGTGCAAATCCCTCCGGCCGTGGTCCCCATGGGCTGCCCACCACTCCTGGCACATGACTTCTCTTCTCTAGCAGCGGGTGGTGATGGCGCTGTGCTTGCCTGTGCACACGGGAGCCGTGATGAGGATGAGCAGCCGCGCCCTGCTTCAGGAGGACTTCCTTGCACTCACACATCCACCGTTATCCATCTTCTCCTCCCAGACAAGTTGGAGAGAGGACCCACCCTAGCTAGACAAGGCTACCCACCGCCATATGCTGACAGCCCGTGGGTGCTGACCTGACTCTCCATGGCAGGTCTGAGAAGATGAAAGATAACACCCTCCCAAATGGCAATGGAAGGAGCACGGCCACCCCAGGCTTCAAGCAGCCCTCCTTCCCATCACACACACACACACACACACACACACACACGTGCATGAGCGCAATTTTCATCCAGCAATTCTCTCAAACTATTTCAAAAAAAAAAAAAACTAACATCGAGTTTTATTATATCAAGTCATTTTCTCTCTCTTTTTAAGGAGGATTATTAATAAAATCACACTTCCTTGGAAAAAAAAAAAGAGAGACCAGGAATGTAAATGCTGCACTAATTTAATTACACACTGGCTCTGTAAGACACTAATGTAAATATTCTGGTGAGGAGACCTAAGACACTTGAAGTAATTACTTAAGGACTCCCTTTCAAAGAATCTCTCCCTTTTTTATTAAATGCCTTTTAACATTAGCACTTTCTTCCTGACAAATTAAATGAAATTTCATTACTCTCCCTGACTTAATGGCATGAGGCTCCTGCCGAGGTGTGAGTTAACCCTCCCCGGACAGCTGACAAGGGCTCCTACGTTCAGTCAAAACGCCGCCGTCCTAACACACAAGAGAAAGGCGGCCTCGAAGAATCCTTTGTGTTTTTAACCAGAGTGTCCAGAATCCCTTTTTTCCAGCCATGATCCTTACAGAAATCTAAGAAACCCATCGCATTGATGTATTGCAGCATCCTCAAGTTCATAGCAAAATAAATACGTAAATAAAACAAAAATGGTTTCATCAGTTGAGACCCTCGTGATGGCCACGTCAAGGGCAATAACAATAGCAAACAGTTATATATCAAGTAGCTCCCAAGATCCACCTCTTTGAGCTCATTTAAGTCCTCCTAAAAACACCATAAGGTAAATCCAGGTTTCCCCACCATCTGAACGTAGAGTGATCCTATGAAATGATGTAACTGAAATGATGGAAACTGAAGAAGCAGTTACCTAAGGACACACCTTGCTAAGGGATGCACAAAAATAAATGGAGATAAAACACAGACGCTCAGAGACACAGTGAGAAGCTACAGCAGGTGTGATGCTCAGACGCGACTGGCAGTGACATTCCCTCTAATCAGGGTGGGGGCAGCTGTAGAGGGGCTCTCTGCAAAACCAATGCAGAATACTAGTTTCCCTCTTCGCCTTTTTTTTCTCTTCCCTAAAAGCAAAAATTCTCTTTAAATTTCTTTCAGTTGCGAAAATAGATACGAATGGGCGGTCTTCCTTCCAAGTGAGATGGTGTGAAGCTCAGAAATTGGGGAATACCAGGACTATTAATATCCCCACTCTCCGTGGAGGAAATTAACGTACAGAGCGGTTAAGCAATTGACCCAGGGTCACGTTGCTAATAAGCAGCAGAACTGGGATTCAGCCCAATTGTGCAGCCATTATCACACACTTTCGCACATACAGTCACGGAATCCTCAATCCCGGACGGACCCAGAATTATTACCGTATCCTTTTCTACATTTGTGCAAATTGGGAATCGGACATTACACAGCAAGCGAAAGATCCTGCGTCCCGTCTCTCTCCGAGATCTTGTCCCAGCCATGTCTTCAAAACAACTCAGCTTCAAAATTAAGTTTCCAAAAGGTGGGTCCTGAAAAAAATGTATTTCTAGACCTGCTTTATTAAACCTATTAAGCAAAAAAAAAATGTAGTAATTTAATTCTGAAAGCGAATAAAGGAACCATTACTAATAAGGTTGAATTTATTTTTAATATTATAGGAATCAAGTTATAAAATTACAGGAAAATTCCAGAATGACTACTCAGGAACTATGGGGCTGAGGTCCTTGTCCTGCAGGTCCTAACATGAACCAAGAGTAAATTCATCTTCACTTTTGTTAAAATAGTCAATCAAGTAAACTTTTACAAAACAAGCCCTACCAAAATTGTTCTGTTTGGAGAGAGAAGGTGTGGTTGAGAATATTCCAGAGAGAGAATATTGAGATAAAGACACTAATGAGAATGGCTTGGGATCTCTTTACCTAAACTGGCGTCCTGGCATTTTCTTTTTTGCTATCTTTTTCAGAAGCAATGGTCATTTTATCTGCCCATTGAGCTTTACCGCTAATATTTTTCAAGACTTACTTGTCACTCCTTGCTTAGACCTGCCTTTCCTTCTCACTCTTACCTGGGTTTCACTTTATCCTATTTCCCATAGCTTCCATACGTTCTGAGGTCTGCGCGGCACAGATTCACGGTGAAAGCACGTTCTATTCAGTCAACTTTGAATTTCAAGAGACAAGGCCAACTTTTAATGGGAACGCGTTATAGCTTTGTTTGCCTTTTCTCTATGTGATATTTCTCTTTGGCTGAAAGTTGTTTTCCCTAAGCACAAGCCCTTTTCCTGTCCATGTCACCAGTAGCCTGAACTTCCCCATGTCGTGTTCCATCTTCCCAAAGAGTGTCCTCTCTGAGACCTCAGGCCATGTGGAAAAAAAATAATCAGCTCAGAGTTCAGAAGACAAATGTTGCAAGGGGATTTTTTTTTCCTCCTCTTGGTTATTCTTAAACATATGTAGTTTTAAGGATCAGTATGTCAGTGTTTTGAAAGAGGCAAAGACTTGAATTTATTTTGGTGCAGCTATCAGATTTTGAGGAGCTGGATCATTTGTTTTCCTCTTGTGAGGTCCAGGTAAAAGTTCATCCCCTCCATGGCCGGGTGCTTCTGACAAACAAAAATCAAGGACCCCAAATAAGTATTTTATCTAAAAAATGTGAACTATCCCAAAACAAACATGAAAAAGCACAGCTGCCAAATTCCACAAGTGAAAAAAAAAAAAAAGAGTTGAAGGTTGAGACAGCTCAGGATCTGCGTGGGGAGGAATGGGTGAAGTTTGGCCAGCTGCCCTTCAGGCCTTCAGGGACACTCAATCCAATTGCCGTGTCTTAGCGGATGTGAATTTCAAGGTTACACCTGGGTGTTCAAGGGCAGGGCCAAGTGTAATCGGCACTTAGATCATAGATTAATCTTATTTGCCATCTATTAGGTTTGATTCCACTTCCCTCTCTCCCTCCCTAAAGCCAGGATTATTGTGATAGTTTAAGATAATGGATTCTAACGGAAGAAAGGTCACGCAGGCATGGAGATTTGGAACCTTAAGATAATATGATTAATCTAAAAGCTTCTTTCTCAAAGGGGAGGGCCGCACTTTTCATATGTCTAATTGAGAGAGGAGAGCTGAAGACCAAGAGCGAGCCCGGAAGAGGGAGCCCAGAGGAACGGAGTCCTTGTCAACAACTGCAATTAATTATCATTGTCAGGATGATCTTTCATTAGTTTTCGCACTAATAAGATAGATTTGCCTCATGCCCGAAGCTGATAAAACCTCATTGGCAGTGTCGATAAGACTATGTCAGCATGGGGAGGCGTCCGTGGACTTCTTCACCTGATTTTCTTTTTCTAATTTTCCAAAACTAAATGACTCCGTGGCTATTGCTGAAAGTGACTACCTCTGGGGGGTTGGGACCCCGAGATGCAGGAGAAGTCTTTCAACACAGCAGTTGGCATAATCTAAGCAATAAGTAAATGTGAACTGTGGTAATAAATGCTACAAACATAGGAGTGTGTGGCGTATATTTTAAGGTATGCAGTTTACTCTGATCCCTTTTAGATGGCTCCAGATAACCCTCACCACCCAATGTGGAGAGACTCGGAGAAAGAAATCAGGGATGGGCATATTTATTTATGAATCATGGTGAATCAAGTTTCCAGGCTTTCAAACAAGAGAACATTAGTCTTGGTCCATCTGCCAAAAACTTGGAACTTAAACGTGGGTTCTCTGCTATCTTACTTTTTTCCCGTTCTTCTAGGAGAGAATCTGTTTTGTTTGACTGTTTAATTATTGTACCTGCTAAGTAGATCTCATCATTGGAGCTCACTGTTCTTCTGGGGTTATTTAAATGTATAGAAATATTTCCATATCTTTTTGCTTTACACATAGTTTGCTAGATATACGCATTATAATGTGTTATTTACATACATGATCTAACACCATATCCACTAAATTCAACTTATTCTGCTTTCCTCATTTGTTTCAATTAAATAAAAAATGTGCCGTTAAGCTATTTTAGGCCAACAACAGAGGAGCAGAATAGTCCTCGAGCGCAGCTGACTCCCTCCCGAGGGCTCGGATTTGTAGCCTTAGGGGAGGTAATAGGAGATTTTTAATTCGCAATTTGTAATTTCATAAACAGGTTGTTCCTTTGAACCAACGGAGCTCCCTTGATTCATTCACAAGGAATAAAAGCAAGCTAGGTGGTATTTCCTTAACCAAGATAACAGAACGGAACAGAGAGATGGCCATTCCTGGACAGAGAGGGGCCAACGCGAGGAAGACGCACAGGGTGCAGCGCGGTTAGGATATGAGCTATGATTGCTTCATACGACTTGTGAGATAATTATAAGATGTCCATCATCATCCGCTGAGGTTCTCAAGACGCCGCATGGTATTAATGCTGTATGGAATGATTACTTCTCAGTATAAACCGTGCGGCCTCGCCTGAGAACCAGCTGCAACCTGAGGGGAAATGCTTGTGCTCAGATCAGATGACCAGACAGCAGCTTCAGGATGCAGAACAGAGACGCTAGAACAAATTGATGTTGACCGTACGGAAAAGTAAAACACAGCCCTCTGGGGGGAAACTTCCTTTTTGTGAAATTTTAAAACTTCTCATTAAATAATGCTGTAATTCATTGACATCCCAACTTGAAAATGCAATAGTTCACTAATTCATTCTATAGTTGGGGCCAGCGGTGGAGGTGGATGGAGAAAAAAAAATGTACTTGTAATCTCTGGAACAACAACAAAAAATTATTTTTCATCCCGAAAAGTAAATTTGGATTTAAAACTATGTACTTTCAAAAATGCACAAAATGGAGCATTTGGGAGTCTAAAAATGCAAAACGCATGGATTCAAATGCTGACTCAGAGAAAGCAGTCAATTCCTGACTGTTTCTTTAAACAGGTTGAGATTGAACTGTTCAGGGTTAGCTTGTGATGTCAGTTCTGCAATGTTTTGTTCCATTTCCATGTGTAATCATTGGAAAGAGGAAGAAATAATGTGGGCCCTGTCCTGTTCCCTGTTTCAGAGTGACCACCGAGACAAAAATGAAACAGCTCTATGTGTTCTGAGCTGGAGGATTCCAGGAGAGCTGGTTGGACTCTGGTCTGTCATCCTTCCTACCCTAATCTCACTCCCACTTCCGGTCTTCCTCATCCTCAGACCGAGTTGGTGGTGTTCGGCAACCCCTGTGCATCACAGCTTTACCTAATATATGACGTGTTTATTCTTCCCAGGCCACAGGCCGTATCCCTCTCAAGTGACTGGCAACAACACTGAAATGAAGTGGGTCCAGAGTGGCTCTAAGAGGGACGGGAAGCCTCTCTAGTCAAACAGAAAGCAAATTAGTGGGAGCCCCCCTGCACCTTCAGTCTGGAAATGTCATAAAGTAATAAGCCGCAGACCCGCAGAAGGTGGAGGGCTGGACGTCACTCAATTTACCTATGAAAGGGACAAGCCCCATTTCCTGTGCTCGAACGTCAGACGTGTAAGTTGCTAAACTCTAAGTTCTGTATTTTCTAAAAGGAATCCTTTAAAGTTGTCTGAAAGCACAGATGAGTACTTGGTGACACAAATGCAATGATCTATCCGTCCCATTCCTTCTAGTTTAGTTGTAAAGAATGAAATCAAGCAAAGACTTAGGAATACTTCGCTTGGCTCTGTGGCACCAGTGTTTATATGATGTCACAATGTGTGCCTGTACATGCCTTAAGGAAGTGGTATGGAAAAACAGACCACAGAAGGAAATACACAGACCTACAGTATGAGTAGACCATCAATTTTTAAATTTCCCTATAATTCTCATTTTATCTCATTCTACCAGTGTTGCGGTATGTGTCAAAAAAAAAACACAACAGACAATAATTCATATGCATTAGGACGCTGACAAAAACAAACTCTTATTTTTTTTTTCATCAGTCTTTGAACTTCTAATATTCTAAAATATCTGGTAGAAAAAGTGTATCGCAAAGCCACCTCTTCTGTAATTAGATGGCTGCAGAATGCAAAAGATTTCGCATACCTGCTTTCCAGATTGCTTTGGTCAATTCCTTTGTTGTTCATTTATGTTTGATATGACTTTCCTACAATGTTAGTCGTTAAACTAACCAAGGAAGTTATCAGTATGTAAAGAGAAAGCATGCGTAGAAACATTCTCTCTCTCTCTCTCTCTCTCACACACACACAATGCAACTTTTGGTTATCTCTTCTGAAAGCCAAAAATGACCACGCAACTTAAAATTGGTGGTACAAATGAGCACACAACAAAATCTGCC